TATATTTCAACCATAGACACTTTATTCTCTTGATGACATCCATTATACAAATTAAGTAATGTATTTCCATCAAAGTTTAATGTTTATAAACAAGAACAATATAAGCAATAATATATTATCAATAACAAATACTCATCAAAATATCAATTCCCGTTCACAAATTGACTGCTAAATTGCTGGTTAAGATTTGCTGGGATGGATTATAATATTGTATTTGTATACACTACATATTTTTTCTCGAGTATCTCTTTGTTATATATAAACATATGTTGTAGCCAGGTCTACAACCAATAATAAAAGTAGTCCGCATGGCAACAAAATTAGGTCGTATGAACCTCGAAAAGTCTTTCGAAAGATGACACAAATGTGTGACCGCCGAAATCGCGACCAGTCTTTCGAAAGACCGCAGAAATGCATCGCGAGAACATTGCGAAAAAGCTGATCAGCAAATGCCTAAATTTGATGATCAAACCGAGCGTAATATTGATTAATCAATATCACGCAACCGATCGACGCAATCGAATGCTGATCGGGCATCGATCAGACTATATAACCGGTTACACAAGGCGGAATAGATAGAATCGGGAATCAATCAAGCATAACGTGTCGTTCGGAATCGTCATTATAATTATCGCGCAAGATATTACACGAGCAAGATATTACACAGCGAAGTTCACGCGAGCCGTACTATCAACGTCTCAGGTGACATATTCGGTCGACGGCCGCCAGAGTAACGCGATACGCGCCCGCCGACGTTTAACCGTGTGTGAAAGAAATAAAATAAGTAATACTAAATCCAAGAAATTGTGCAATTGTTAAATAAACCAAGTAACATAAAGAAAGTGTGTTAATGATTTCAAGAAGATTTCCTTCCATTCTTTTGATCCTGCTCGGAGTCCTAACTCCTTAGGCTTAACGAACCCGACTATCTCTAAAATTAACGTTGTAGCCCATCCGGGGTACAACACATATGTACATAATACATAAATATATCGTAATTTTGTTGTCAACTATTTATGACGTAAGACTATCATTATGACATCAATTTCTATTGTCATTTCTACTACACTTTGAATGGTTAATTGACTTGAATTGATTTATAACAAACATTATATTCATACTTTCTATCTAAATAATAAACTATTGTACACACCGAATAAATCTTTTTATTACATGAATAGAAAAATCAATTAATCTTTCTCTGTAATCGATCGACTGATTCAGTTCTTTGTTCGATTTATTTCTCAGATATGAATAAATTATAATACTAAACATCAGCTTGAAAGAAAAAAAAATATGTCGCCTAATAAGAATCCAATATCAAATGCATTAGACCAAAAACTTTCACTATATCTCCAGAATCATACCATATTTTTTATGAACACAAAATAAATGTCATTATATATAAAAAATAAAAAAACGATAATATATATTCTACGGATATTTTTAATTACTCACCCAAAAATCTGTTGAATAATAGAAAGTGTGAACGACAAATATGCAACACGTAGTTACAAATTTTAAGTCGTGAATGGCGAGTATTACGTCGGCATCTAATTTTATATTAAATATTTCTTTCATATTTGTGTAAACAGAGAAACACATTAATATTTTTTCAATCTTACTTTCTCGGTATGAAATCAATTTTTTTTATGTCTATCCTTTTAGACATGTTTTTAACATCTGAATTTTAATTAACAGTTTTTAAAAAGATGTAATACAAAAGATATGTTTTCTAATTAATATGTGATAAAAAGATATATTAAATGTGTGATTGATGATAAATAGATATATCAAAATTTTTATTACCAATTATTTTTTATTAAAAAAGTAATCAATTTGAAAAAGTAATTAATTTAAAATTTATTAAATAATTTCGATATAAAAATGAAATTTTTTTTAACATAAGAAATGTAGAGCAAGAAAATAATAAGTCCTTTAGAACAAAAAAATATTTCAACAGACTGTTTTAAAGCATTATTGTTTGCATATACATAATACTTGCCATTAACAATATTTGTCGCATTTTTGTTTATATATTTTCGATACACGAATATATCGTTCCGATTATTGCCATAAAAAAAGAGAACATTACAGCACTGTAAAACAAATTATTATTTTGGCATATTTTAAATTTTTAAAAGATTAAGATAAAAACTATATGTAAGGTATTTTATATTTATAATATATATTAATGCATTTATATCATGCTATAAAGTAATCTTGCACAATTAATTGCTATATTTGTATTTTTCTGAACCAGATAAAAATTGAACGTATTTGTCGACAGCCATTCATAATCTTTAAGGTCTTTAACTTGGATCAATTCAAAATCCATGGAATAGAGATCACTGATTAGGAAAATTCTGTCATAAAATAATTTTTTCATAATAACACTTAAATCATTTGTAGTGCACGATGCTAGTAAACATAGTCCGAGTGTAATTATATTCTGAAGGGAGAAAAATTTCTATATATGTATAAATATTAAAGGAGAAAAATAACGTTTAGTATAAAAAATTTAGTATAAATAACATTAAATAATTTTAAAAATTTAT